CCCCAAAACCCCAAAACCCCAAAACCCCTTAAGGAATATATGCCTGAATTTATGAAATTAAGTTATTTGATCAAGTAAACATAGATTATCTGTGGCTTGATGCTAAATCTTAAGTCTTGTTAATTTGGTTTACACTTTGATTATCTATATTAGAATTTCTCAACAACTAGCTTTAGTCATCATTTTGATAGTCTTTATTCTCTTCTTACTTATAGTCTTCTTTAGATTTCTTTAACTCAATTAGAGACATCCTAAGTTCTTTCATTTCAATTTACATTTCATAAAATTTCTCTATAGATATAACCTCGCTCACACTGATATTTGCTTTTTTCTCAATTGTTTACGTTTTCATATTAGTCATAGTAATATTGCTCTTAAAACTATTCTTAAGACTCCATCTATTGATTGTTTATAATAGTATGGTATATGCTCCAAATAGTGATAAATATCCACCAATTTAAGCTAACCCATATAAGATATTTTGGGGAATGACTGTGATTGCAAATAAATATCCAAAAATTTAAGAATTTTCATCCTATTCAAATTCAAAGACAAATTACCCATCTTCGCCATAATTGTTTTAAATTTAGATGTGCTTTACTGTAAAATAATAATCCAATGAGAAGGTAGGGTTTATATTGGTAACACTGTCAGTCTCATTAATCATATAATAATTCATTTACATAACGAGTCGAGAGCGATTTAGAGAATCAATATTTTTTATATCAATGATTCCTTGCATAGAACCTTGATTGTCATAGTAATATGACTTGTAGTAATAAAGAGCATCGTCAGAATATTTATTATCAAAACAAGATGATTAAAGTTAACAATTACATTGATATGATAAACCGTAATCAAAGTAAAGATTATTATCTTAGGTGGCTTTCTTTGCATCCTCTAAGTCTGGCCTTATATCAAAGTACCAGCCAAAATTATCAATAATATTTTTTTGGCAAATGCTTTTGATGGTCACATTACTAAAAGGCTAAGTAAATTGGCATTTATAGCCTCCACATTCATCATTAGTTTGAGGAATACTTAATTATTCCTCTGTAGACTAGTCGACTCTGAGTTTTTATTTATCTTAATCAGCTTAAAATCTATAAATCTATATAGAAAGGTCCAATTTCTCAATAAAATCATCAAGTTTCTAATTAAACAGCTAATAACTCAACTCTTACTTTACACTTTTCACTTTACATTAGAAAATATCAATCAAAACTAGTACTGAAAAATAAACCAGAATCGCTAGACCAAATATTGTCAGAATCGTTGAAATCCATGAAATGTAATAAGATCTTTTCTCATAGTATAAGCCTGGGTAGATTTTCCCCAAAGTTATAAATCTCAAGCAGTTCAGACCAAATTCTTTTAACTTGTGAAGGATAGTAGTCATTAATTTAGATTTTGTATTAAATTATTATTAAACTTGTCCAAATCACAAAATTATATGATACCATACTTGTGGGGTTTTGGGGTTTTGGGGTTTTGGGG